AAGACACGGAGGGTAGGGGGTTTGGCAGTGGGAGCAAAGATCTCATTGAAGTCCTGCTTCTCCTTCTGCATAAATCCCTTAGCCACCAGCCTACTCTTGTAGATGGTGACCTGTCCCTTGTCATCGGTCTTGATCCTTAGCACCCACTTGCACTGTACGGCTTTCTTCCCCTCAGGCAGCACCACCAGATCCCATGTCCCATTCTCTAACAGGCTTTGGTACTCAGCATCCCTAGAAACCAGCCACTTCTCCCTATCTGGTCCAGCTAATGCCTTCTCCATGCTTGCTGGTTCCTCTGGTGCAGGGGCAAGAAAACAGTAGGCAGGTTCATCCTCCTCATCCGGGTCATAGCCATGCGGTAGAATCAGGAATGCCTCCTCATTCCCAAGCTGCTGCTCTGCTACATCAGCTCCTGCAGTCAGCTTTATAGTGGCCATACGGGTACGTCCTGGCCTGGAGACGGGTGTCTCCCATCCCCTCATAACAACACCCTTCGGCTTCCTCCTTGATGGTAGCGCAGGAACCTTATTTTTTCCTTGCTGCTGTTCTCCTCCCTCAGATCCAGCAGCTTCCTTGGTGCTACCACTAGTCTCCACATCATCTCCTCCACCAGCAGATGCCTCCTGCCCCTTCTCTCCATCACCACCCTCTGCAGCTGCCTCCTCTCCCTCCTCCCACACACTAGGAGTCAGGTCCAGCTGCATGGTGATCTGCTCCATCTGCTGGGACACCTTAGTCTCTGGCTGTTTCTTCCAGCCCCCATACATCATGCCCTCAACAAACTTCACATCCCTGCTGTCAAACAATACACCCTTGGATGGTTCCCACAGCAGCCATCCCTTGCTCTCAGCAGCCAGCCCCAAATGCACACACCAGATTGCACTCTTCCCCAACTTACTTCGATACTTCTTGGGGACGTGGGCGACTGCCATGCAACCGAACACCCTCAGCATGTCCACTGGCGGCTTCCTCCCAAGCCACCTCTCCAGCGGCACCCACGATTCATTACCAACCTTAGTGAGCACCCTGTTCCTAGCCACGGTAGCGTGCCGGACAGCATGGGGCCACATGGAATTGCCCACCCCTGATTCTATGAGCAGCGCCCTAGCTGTCTCCAGAATGGTCCGGTTCGTCCGTTCTGCTACACCGTTGGATTGCGGAGAGTAAGCTGTGGTCAGCTCCCTCTGAATGCCCTGCTTCTTGAGCCAGGCCGTCGTTTCAGCTCCAAGGAACTCACCACCCCGGTCTGTCCTAATCCGCTTCACTACACACTCCGCTTGCTTCTCAACGAATGGCAGCCAATCTTCCTTTATCGTAGAGGCGGCGTGGTCCTTTTGCTTCAGCGGATACGCCCACATGAGTCTGCTCCAATCATCCACAATGGTTAGGAAATACCGCTCCCCCTTGTGCCCTTGCACCGGCAGCGGCCCCACCAGGTCCATGTGAACCAGCTCCAAAGGCTTCTTGCTCCTGCAAGTCACGCTATGAAAAGGGAAACGAGTGAATTTTGAGAGCAAACAGATTAACCAGTTGTCATCGGGTGGTTGTCAGTTGAGCTTCAAACCCTTGACTGCTCCATCTTTCTCTAGCTGCTTCAATAAGGGCATTGCCACATGCCCCAAGCGTCGGTGTGCCGTTGCCCAATCTGTCTCCCCAGATCTGGCCGACACCTTCACACCAACCCCTCCAACGGCGTTGCACTCCCCTTGGGATGCAGACCCCTCTCCAGCCTGCCCCCCACCGTGCCACGCCAACGCCGGCAGCTGCCACATGGATCTGTACACATCCTTGCTCTCGTGCAGATCCCAAAGCACCCGATTTCCCAGCTGCCCCTTGTACGCGCGTGCCCCATCCGTGCTAGTGCTCACCCCAACCTTGGCAAGCTTACGGAGGGAGATGAGGTTGGCCTTGAGATCAGGAACAAGGAGAACGTCGTGCAGCACCACCGGCTTGCCATCCGCTCCCTTGAATGCAGCTCGTCCTGCACCAGCCACCTTCAGCGCGTGTCCAGAGGCAGAGCACACCTCATTGATCGGTGCAGCTCGTACGTCATCAAGCAGCTCCTTGCGCAGCGTCATCGTCCAAGCAGCGCCCGTGTCCAACACCCAATAGTCCAGGGGATGCAGCTCTGCTCCAACCTTTGCAGAGGCGTCTCCTTGCCCCCCCTGCTCTCCAATATGGAAGAACTGGCCTGCGGTGCGCTCCTTCTTCTTCTCTGCACCGCCGTTGCTCTTCGGGTTGTTGTCGGACGAATCGGCGACCATGTTCGCGCCGTTTTTCTGGTTCCTCCGCGCGCCGCCATCCTGGTGACGATTCTGGGGGGTCCATCCATCGGGTTTCTTATAGCACAAAAACCAGGGGTGCCCCTCCTTCTCACAATACCAGCAACTCCCTTTCATTTTGCCACCAGCACCCGACTTGCCCCCACGTCCAGATTTCGCACCGCGACCCCAACCGGTACCTCCTTGTTGGTCGTTGGAGTCGTCGTCCTTCTTTGCACCGCGCCCAGCACCACCGAAGCCACGTCCTCTGCCACGTCGACTTCCTTGCATCCCGTAGCCGCTGTTGCCGTCGTCTCCACCCCTCAGTTGGCGGCGACGGAAGTCCTCCTCCAGAATCTTCGTCCGCACCCACTCGAGCGTCCACAAGCTCTGGTTCTGCGGCAGGCTCAATCCGCTCGTGAATTGAAGCCATGATTCCGGCAGCAGCGAGAGCATCTTCAAGCATTTGGTCTGCTCCGGGTAGGTGATTCCCGCGGTCGCCAACTTCGCGTAGAGGTCGCGCATTTTGTCCAAAACAGGTTGCACCGGCTCTCCTTCGCTCAAGCGCAATGCGGACAGCTCCCTCTCCAGCATCAACGTTGCGACAACGGAGGTCGGGGCGTGCAGCTCCTTCAACACGGTCCACGCCTTCGGACCGCAATCAACCTCCGGCAGCAGGTGCATGACGTGGTGACGCTGGTTCAGCTCCAAACTCTGCGACATCAAGTAGTAGCCAGCCGAGGCGCGCTCGTCCCAATCTTCCTGCAGCGCGGGGTCACTCGGTCTAGGCTCCTCCCCAATCATTAGTTTCAGCAATCCAATCTGACGGAAGTAAAGTTGCATTTTCCATGCCCAATCATCATAGCCCTCACCATTGAACTTCTCGACGGTGAAGTTCTTCAGCACCTCCTTGATCAGCGAGCCCTGGTTTGTTCGCGCTCCCCTTGGCGCCAAAACACCAGAATCCTGGCTGCCGCTACGATCTTGGGCTGAAGATTCACCAGCTCCCGCCGAGGTATTTCCCGCCATAGCTACCTATAACGAGGATCACTATAACGCAGCTCTGATACCAGCTTGTTGGTCGTAAGGGCCTAATAAACTCAGGCTATTAAGACGTTATCCAACTTAAAACCTCTCCTCGGGGTCACCTCCAAGGGTCCCTGGGTGCTTGGTACAAGACCAGCCCCTATCCTCGGGTCCGAGTTTGTAGAGAGAGGGATCAAGAGGGACTTAGTCAAAACAGCAAGAGTACCTTCAACGTCGCGCAGCCTGCCGTGCAGACCGTCGATCGGATAAAGCTGAGAACCCGCTATATCGAAGCTCACCCTAAGAGCTTTCAAAGAGCCAAGTTGCCTCGCGAAATGTTCTGCCATTGCAGAGTTATGAAATGGACAGCGTTTGCCTAGCGTTGGAGTGCTAGCGTACTAGCGTTGACTCGGTAGCATTCTGCCGTCAAATCGCGTGGATACGAAATTCCAGCAAGGAAGGAATTCGCTTGAATCAATTTGAAATATATTCAGGTACAAACAGAGAAGGAATATATAGTTCTAGCAAGCAAGGACCTTGGGAATCAACCTGGGAACAACGAGGGATGATCCCAAATAATTCCAAGCAACAGAACAAACCTGGCTGGACAAAACAGCAGGTGGTAGGTTGGTAAACAACCTCTGGTTCTGTTTTTCCAACCTGGGAAAACAACAACCAGGTTCAGGTCCTAAAAACAGAACCTGATTTGTCTTTGCCCAACCAGCCAAATGCTGGTTCCGCTGGTTTCCCCTGGCCCTGCAGCATGTAGATACAGACAAACAACATCCAACCTTCACCTAAATTGTACCCCTATAGTGCCTGCCCTGCTACACTATAGTCAGCCAAACAAAACAGTACAAGTTCGAGTTGGATAGAACCGAATCTGCGCACTCAATTAAACCGAACTCCAAAGCTTCCATCTTGGGTTCCTTTGCGAGCTCGTCCTTTCTGCTTGCACTGTTCATAGCGCGTACAATGTTGTGCCGAAGCGCACATTGCGCGAGTACCTGCAAATGCATCAAGCGAAAATTGTGAAAACAAACAAACACACGAACATTCCATTCACACCCAAATGCATTTGCACACGCATACTCGTACAAACAGACGGCAGGATGTCGTGCAATGTGAATTTGCACCCAACAAATTTGCACCCAACACATTCCCCCTCAGCCTGCCGGCTGCATCCACAACATTCCATGCTAGTTCATGCTCATTCCACTCATGCGCACACAACGCCAATGAGGCTCATCCGCAAGCCTCTTGGTGAGGAAGTCCGCTGGCTGCTGGTGAGTCTTGATTTAGATCGGATTCACCGTCCCCCTCTTCACCTCCTTACGCAATTAGTGCCACTTGATACGCATCTGCTTGTTCAGCCCATGAAACACAGCGTTCTTAGCCATCCCAAGTGTCCCCTTGCTATCACAAAACAGCGGCGTAGCTACCTTCTGCTCCTGGCCAATCTCCTCTAACAGCCTCCTCAACCAAATCACATCCTTCACTCCGTGAAACATTGCCATGTACTCTGATTCAACAGAGGAGAGTGCCGTCTCCGTCTGCTTCTTGGACCTCCAACTAACAGATCCTCCCCCAACTACGCAGATGTATCCTCTCACAAATGAGCAATCGTCCTTCTCAGAAGCCCACGTAGCATCGGTAAAGCAAGTGAGAAACAGCTTGCCTTCTCCAAGCCGCTCCCCCTTCTCTTTCAGCACCTCAACCCCTTTCTGCTTCACCTGTGCAGATGCGGAGTATTGAACTCCAATGCTTGGGTGAGAGTTCAGGTACTTCACCACACGCTCAGCTGCATCCACCTGCTCCTCTGATGGATTCTGCACCACCCTAGCCAGCTGCCCAACCGAGAAAGAGATGTCGGGCCTTGTGTGAACTGCTGCATACAAGAGGCTGCCCACCAAGGACTGAAATTGCTGCTGCTCCTCGGCCTCAACCCCTTCATCCTCTCCTGCCTTCACAAGCTTGAATTCTGCTGGCAGGGGAGTTGCAACCTTGCGCTCATTCTCAATCCCATACTTCTCCCCCAGCTCCTTGATGAACTTTTCCTGGTGCAGCTTCAACCACCTGTGATCCAGATCCCTCTCCACGTGCATCCCGAGGTAGTACTTTACCTCCCCAAGGGTCTTGCACTTGAAGTTCTTCATCAGCTGCTGCTGCACGTTCTGGATCTCCTTCATGCTGCTGCTGAAGAGAAGAATGTCGTCCACGCAGACCAGAAACAGCACCAGCTTCTCCCCCTCCCCCTTGAAAAAGAGGCTCTCATCACAGCTGCTGGTCCTGAATCCCACCTCCTCTAAAACAGCTGCCAGCTTCTGGTACCAGCAGCGTGGCGCCTGCTTCAAGCCGTAGATGGACTTTTTCAGCTTGCACACCCTGCCCGTACCATCCTCATACCCAGGCGGCTGCGTCATGTACACATCCTCCTCTAAAATCCCATTGAGGAATGCCGTTGATATATCCATGTGAATGATGAATTTCCCACTAACGGCTGCATCTGCCAACAAGACACGGAGGGTAGGGGGTTTGGCAGTGGGAGCAAAGATCTCATTGAAGTCCTGCTTCTCCTTCTGCATAAATCCCTTAGCCACCAGCCTACTCTTGTAGATGGTGACCTGTCCCTTGTCATCGGTCTTGATCCTTAGCACCCACTTGCACTGTACGGCTTTCTTCCCCTCAGGCAGCACCACCAGATCCCATGTCCCATTCTCTAACAGGCTTTGGTACTCAGCATCCCTAGAAACCAGCCACTTCTCCCTATCTGGTCCAGCTAATGCCTTCTCCATGCTTGCTGGTTCCTCTGGTGCAGGGGCAAGAAAACAGTAGGCAGGTTCATCCTCCTCATCCGGGTCATAGCCATGCGGTAGAATCAGGAATGCCTCCTCATTCCCAAGCTGCTGCTCTGCTACATCAGCTCCTGCAGTCAGCTTCATAGTGGCCATACGGGTACGTCCTGGCCTGGAGACGGGTGTCTCCCATCCCCTCATAACAACACCCTTCGGCTTCCTCCTTGATGGTAGCGCAGGAACCTTATTTTTTCCTTGCTGCTGTTCTCCTCCTTCAGATCCAGCAGCTTCCTTGGTGCTACCACTAGTCTCTACATCATCTCCTCCACCAGCAGATGCCTCCTGCTCCTTCTCTCCATCACCACCCTCTGCAGCTGCCTCCTCTCCCTCCTCCCACACACTAGGAGTCAGGTCCAGCTGCATGGTGATCTGCTCCATCTGCTGGGACACCTTAGTCTCTGGCTGTTTCTTCCAGCCCCCATACATCATGCCCTCAACAAACTTCTCATCCCTGCTGTCAAACAATACACCCTTGGATGGTTCCCACAGCAGCCATCCCTTGCTCTCAGCAGCCAGCCCCAAATGCACACACCAGATTGCACTCTTCCCCAACTTACTTCGATACTTCTTGGGGACGTGGGCGACTGCCATGCAACCGAACACCCTCAGCATGTCCACTGGCGGCTTCCTCCCAAGCCACCTCTCCAGCGGCACCCACGATTCATTACCAACCTTAGTGAGCACCCTGTTCCTAGCCACGGTAGTGTGCCGGACAGCATGGGGCCACATGGAATTGCCCACCCCTGATTCTATGAGCAGCGCCTTAGCTGTCTCCAGAATGGTCCGGTTCGTCCGTTCTGCTACACCGTTGGATTGCGGAGAGTAAGCTGTGGACAGCTCCCTCTGAATGCCCTGCTTCTTGAGCCAGGCCGTCGTTTCAGCTCCAAGGAACTCACCACCCCGGTCTGTCCTAATCCGCTTCACTACACACTCCGCTTGCTTCTCAATGAATGGCAGCCAATCTTCCTTTATCGTAGAGGCGGCGTGGTCCTTTTGCTTCAGCGGATACGCCCACATGAGTCTGCTCCAATCATCCACAATGGTTAGGAAATACCGCTCCCCCTTGTGCCCTTGCACCGGCAGCGGCCCCACCAGGTCCATGTGAACCAGCTCCAAAGGCTTCTTGCTCCTGCAAGTCACGCTATGAAAAGGGAAACGAGTGAATTTTGAGAGCAAACAGATTTCACAGTTGTCATCGGGTGGTTGTCAGTTGAGCTTCAAACCCTTGACTGCTCCATCTTTCTCTAGCTGCTTCAATAAGGGCATTGCCACATGCCCCAAGCGTCGGTGTGCCGTTGCCCAATCTGTCTCCCCAGATCTGGCCGACACCTTCACACCAACCCCTCCAACGGCGTTGCACTCCCCTTGGGATGCAGACCCCTCTCCAGCCTGCCCCCCACCGTGCCACGCCAACGCCGGCAGCTGCCACATGGATCTGTACACATCCTTGCTCTCGTGCAGATCCCAAAGCACCCGATTTCCCAGCTGCCCCTTGTACGCGCGTGCCCCATCCGTGCTAGTGCTCACCCCAGCCTTGGCAAGATTACGGAGGGAGATGAGGTTGGCCTTGAGATCAGGAACAAGGAGAACGTCGTGCAGCACCACCGGCTTGCCATCCGCTCCCTTGAATGCAGCTCGTCCTGCACCAGCCACCTTCAGCGCGTGTCCAGAGGCAGAGCACACCTCATTGATCGGTGCAGCTCGTACGTCATCAAGCAGCTCCTTGCGCGGCGTCATCGTCCAAGCAGCGCCCGTGTCCAACACCCAATAGTCCAGGGGATGCAGCTCTGCTCCAACCTTTGCAGAGGCGTCTCCTTGCTCCCCCTGCTCTCCAATATGGAAGAACTGGCCTGCGGTGCGCTCCTTCTTCTTCTCTGCACCGCCGTTGCTCTTCGGGTTGTTGTCGGACGAATCGGCGACCATGTTCGCGCCGTTTTTCTGGTTCCTCCGCGCGCCGCCATCCTGGTGACGATTCTGGGGGGTCCATCCATCGGGTTTCTTATAGCACAAAAACCAGGGGTGCCCCTCCTTCTCACAATACCAGCAACTCCCTTTCATTTTGCCACCAGCACCCAACTTGCCCCCACGTCGAAATTTCGCACCGCGACCCAAACCGGTACCTCCTTGTTGGTCGTTGGAGTCGTCGTCCTTCTTTGCACCGCGTCCAGCACCACCGAAGCCACGTCCTCTGCCACGTCGGCTCCCTTGCATCCCGTAGCCGCTGCTGCTCCACCCCTCAGTTGGCGGCGACGGAAGTCCTCCAGAATCTTCGTCCGCACCCACTCGAGCGTCCACAAGCTCTGGTTCTGCGGCAGGCTCAATCTGCTCGTGAATTGAAGCCACGATTCCGGCAGCAGCGATAGCATATTCAAGCACTTGGTCTGCTCCGGGTAGGTGATTCCCGCGGTCGCCAACTTCGCGTAGAGGTCGCGCATTTTGTCCAAAACAGGTTGCACCGGCTCTCCCTCGCTCAAGCGCAACGCGGACAGCTCCCTCTCCAGCATCAACGTTGCGACAACGGAGGTCGGGGCGTGCAGCTCCTTCAACACGGTCCACGCCTTCGGACCGCAATCAACCTCCGGCAGCAGGTGCATGACGTGGTGACGCTGGTTCAGCTCCAAACTCTGCGACATCAAGTAGTAGCCAGCCGAGGCGCGCTCGTCCCAATCTTCCTGCAGCGCGGGGTCACTCGGTCTAGGCTCCTCCCCAATCATTAGTTTCAACAAACCAATCTGACGGAAGTAAAGTTGCATTTTCCATGCCCAATCATCATAGCCCTCACCATTGAACTTCTCGACGGTGAAGTTCTTCAGCACCTCCTTGATCAGCGAGCCCTGGTTTGTTCGCGCTCCCCTTGGCGCCGAAACACCAGAATCCTGGCTGCCGCTACGATCTTGGGCTGAAGATTCACCAGCTCCCGCCGAGGTATTTCCCGCCATAGCTACCTATAACGAGGATCACTATAACGCAGCTCTGATACCAGCTTGTTGGTCGTAAGGGCCTAATAAACTCAGGCTATTAAGACGTTATCCAACTTAAAACCTCTCCTCGGGGTCACCTCCAAGGGTCCCTGGGTGCTTGGTACAAGACCAGCCCCTATCCTCGGGTCCGAGTTTGTAGAGAGAGGGATCAAGAGGGACTTAGTCAAAACAGCAAGAGTACCTTCAACGTCGCGCAGCCTGCCGTGCAGACCGTCGATCGGATAAAGCTGAGAACCCGCTATATCGAAGTTCACCCTAAGAGCTTTCAAAAGAGCCAAGTTGCCTCACGAAAAGTTCTGCCATTGCAGAGTTATGAAATGGAGAGCGTTTGCGTTGGAGTGCTAGCGTACGAGCGTTGACTCGGTAGCATTCTGCCGTCAAATCGCGTGGATACGAAATTCCAGCAAGGAAGGAATTCGCTTGAATCAATTTGAAATATATTCAGGTACAAACAGAGAAGGAATATATAGTTCTAGCAAGCAAGGACCTTGGGAATCAACCTGGGAACAACGAGGGATGATCCCAAATAATTCCAAGCAACATAACAAACCTGGCTGGACAAAACAGCAGGTGGTAGGTTGGTAAACAACCTCTGGTTCTGTTTTTCCAACCTGGGAAAACAACAACCAGGTTCAGGTCCTAAAAACAGAACCTGTTTTGTCTTTGCCCAACCAGCCAAATGCTGGTTCCGCTGGTTTCCCCTGGCCCTGCAGCATGTAGATACAGACAAACAACATCCAACCTTCACCAAAAATTGTACCCCTATAGTGCCTGCCCTGCTACACTATAGTCAGCCAAACAAAACAGTACAAGTTCGAGTTGGATAGAACTGAATCTGCGCACTCAATTAAACCGAACTCCAAAGCTTCCATCTTGGGTTCCTTTGCGAGCTCGTCCTTTCTGCTTGCACTGTTCATAGCGCGTACAATGTTGTGCCGAAGCGCACATTGCGCGAGTACCTGCAAATGCATCAAGCGAAAATTGTGAAAACAAACAAACACACGAACATTCCATTCATACCCAAATGCATTCGCACACGCATACTCGTACAAACAGACGGCAGGATGTCGTGCAATGTGAATTTGCACCCAACAAATTTGCACCCAACACATTCCCCCTCAGCCTGCCGGCTGCATCCACAACATTCCATGCTAGTTCATGCTCATTCCACTCATGCGCACACAACGCCAATGAGGCTCATCCGCAAGCCTCTTGGTGAGGAAGTCCGCTGGCTGCTGGTGAGTCTTGATTTAGATCGGATTCACCGTCCCCCTCTTCACCTCCTTACGCAGTTAGTGCCACTTGATACGCATCTGCTTGTTCAGCCCATGAAACACAGCGTTCTTAGCCATCCCAAGTGTCCCCTTGCTATCACAAAACAGCGGCGTAGCTACTTTCTGCTCCTGGCCAATCTCCTCTAACAGCCTCCTCAACCAAATCACATCCTTCACTCCGTGAAACATTGCCATGTACTCTGATTCAACAGAGGAGAGTGCTGTCTCCGTCTGCTTCTTGGACCTCCAACTAACAGGTCCTCCCCCAACTACGCAGATGTATCCTCTCACAAATGAGGAATCGTCCTTCTCAGAAGCCCACGTAGCATCGGTAAAGCAAGTGAGAAACAGCTTGCCTTCTCCAAGCCGCTCCCCCTTCTCTTTCAGCACCTCAACCCCTTTCTGCTTCACCTGTGCAGATGCGGAGTATTGAACTCCAATGCTTGGGTGAGAGTTCAGGTACTTCACCACACGC